GCCGCCACAGGGGCGCTCTTACCTTGCCTGACTTCGGCCATCAGGTCTTTGACCGTTGCTGCCAGGCTCGCCACCACTGCAGATAACTCTACGATCTCTCCCGTCTTAGGCGCTGGCTGGACGGGTGCGGGTATCGGTATCCTTGTATCGGTCACTTCCTGCTCCGTCGGCACGTCCACGGGCTCGCTGAAGAATTGGTCTTCAGTCGCCCTCCTCTTCGATGCTTCCTCCTCGGCTGGGGAGGAGCACTGCCTCGTCCTCCTCTTGTGTGGCTCCACGTCAACGGGACCTGGCGTCGGGCACAACGGAGTCGTGGGACATGTTGTCACCAGAGATGCCCTCTCCCCGAGCTCTCTTCTCATGCTGGCCATCTCCATCTTAGTGCTCGCCACTTCTTTGCGAAGCGTGTCCACCTCGTGTTGCAGTCGCAATTTGTCTGCCTCAGCCATGTTGAGACACTGCCTCAACTCCTCCACCTGAGTGCCGTCGTTGAGTTGGGTCGTAGGCCTTTTGCCCAGTTCTATCGCGTTGGCCTCGATGACGTTCGCGCACTCGCGGAGCACCGTCACGCTGGTTCCTTTGAGGTTTTTGGAACACCCTGCCACTCTTCTTATATCGTTGGTCTTGCCCAACATTTCGACTACTAGATCTGGGACAGGCAGCCTCTTCGCCTCCCCCATGTGCGCGATTATATCCGTCATGGGGCGCGCCGACCGACTTGGCTGTGGAACCGCGCTGTTGGGGTCCATGGCCTGTTCCTCCTGTTCGAGCTCTAACTCCTTTCGTCTCGCCTCGTTGTAGCGTTCCTTCGTTACCGCCAATCGGACGTACTCGCCGGTGGTTGGCGGGCGACCTCTCCTCTTGACGCGCGGAGTGTTGCTCCCCTCCGAGAACAGAACGTCTACTGACTCCACGGAGATGTCGCTGTCGCTGTCATCGTCAGCGACTTTGGCCTTCCTCGTTGAAGATCGCCTCTTCGGGGCAGGGGGGACGAACGTTCCTGCCTCCTGCTGCCGCTTCTCTGCCCACCTCTGTCGGGCGAATTTCTCATGCTCCGTGTATGTCCTTTCGGAGTCCTCGCGGCATTCCTTTGAAATGTATCTATCTCGCTCTCTTTCGTAACACGTATTCTTTTTCCTCGGTTACTGATCCGAGGCGTCGCTCGGCTTGAGAAAATTGATTCATTTATTTTACGCACACCTCAGTAGATGTAACAGCTTCGTCCAGTAACAGATTACGGCTACAAGTCCGTGTGTGGTATTGTGGGGCACGACCAATCAGACCAGCATCTCTTCCGACGTTTAGGAAAGGCAAGCAGTAGTCAGCAATATATATAGGCAAAATTGAAGACTGCGTAATAGGTATTACAACTATAGCTTTTCCTTTTTTTCTATATTTTATTTTATTTTTTTTTTATTTGAAGAAGCTAAAGTAAGATAAGAAAAGGGTCCCATTCAGGTTAGGGGGAATTACTGTTTATGAAAAAAGACGGACCAATTTTTGTTTTAGCAAATATAAGAAATAAACAGACCGATTCTGCTTTAAACGAATCCAAAAAAAAACGGGCCAATTCTGCTTTGAGCGAATAAAAAAATAACTGGCCAATTCTGCTTTGAACGAATCAAAAGAAACGGGCTAATTCTGCTTTGAGCGAATAAAAAAAAACGAGCCAATTGTGGTTTGAAGTAATCACTTTTTAGAAGTCTCATATATACAACTATGGGCAGACCGACAAAAAATGCCCGAACGAAAAAGAATCGAGCGAAAGAATCGCACGAAATTAAACAATTACGTTTGTCAAGGAATCGTGAAAGAAATGCAGAGGCACGGCCTCAAGAAACTATTATTGAACGCCGTTCGAGATTATCCGCAATGCGGAAACACGCACGTTCGAAAGTGTTACGCGAAACAATAGGTGAAAAAAAAGGCGGCTAAGTAGAATTTCTAACCGTTTGAAGAACGAATCTGCCGAGGAACGATCACGTCGGATCGGATTAATCCGCCAGCGATTAGAGAACGAATCTGCGAAACAACGTTCATAACGTCTAATGGTCACAAGAAATCATACGCGGGAAGTGCTACTAACAGAACGTACCGAATCAAGAAATACACGTTTAAAGAATATGCGTGAACGTGCTAGAAACCGAAGAAAAGAACTTCTTCTTCAGGCAGACAGTTTTAAATCGGCTATTAATATTTTCGCTGATGTGCTGCAAAACTTTATATCCGTAGCAATGTTACGCTTTGCACACGCAGCCTCTGTCTCATCTAATTCCTGCAAATCTGATAGAAATAGAGAAGATAACAACATGTTCTCGCTGCCTGCATCATCTTAAAAAGCACAAAGTTCCATCGCAGCCATTCTGGAATAAAATGGAAGTAATGCACGTACCTCAGGAGACATCAGATTTATCGGAAATCGAAAAACACATGTTGTGCAGAATAGTTCCGTTCCTTAAAATCATGAAAATTCAAAATCGCTTCAGTCAGAATTGGTGCAAAGGTCAGGTAGTCCTATTTGCCCGTGATGTATTTGAAGTTACCGAACAACTTCCAGTTAGGTTAAACCAGACCGGTATAATGATTGTCGTAGAAAGCCTAGAAAATTTGGAACGACAGCGACAATTTGAAATAGACGTCGGTAAACTTCGAAGAGCTTTAGAATGGCTGCTACAAAATAATTCTTTGTACAGAGATGTGCGACCATGTTTTTCTAATATTATCAATAACATTTCGGAAATAGCTCGTCACTGAAGAGCTTCCTGTTGTAACAAAAGAAATTGAAGTTGCACAAAGAAGTACTGAGTCAAACAGTAAATTTGTGCATGTAGGCCATAATGTAGCTATTTTACGAGGCACGTGCCATCAAGCTAGCGATCGCTTCAGCATCGAATCTCGCGATAAGCAATGCACAGGCATAGCTGCAGTTGCTTGCGTTGCGTTTAATTTGCTCGATCCTAGTACGTGGTGTACTAGTGATGTTGATTATGTACTTTTAGTAGGAGATAAATATTACCGTGATTGCATTGAAGCGCGAAATAACCCCGACCCCGGAGAAGTCAATGTAAACTACTTAGCTGTAACAGAATTATTGCCACACTTATCGTTTAATAATACCAAAGTCGGTATTGACATTGGCTATGAAATGGATGTAAATGGTCATATTGACATTGATAACGGTGATGACGGATTCCCAAATTTAAAGAACGGTTTAATTGAGTTGATTGATGACGATATTCCCAATATCGATAATATCATCTCTATCGGTAATGTAACGTCCCCGGGTACATCATACAGCCGATAAACAGAGAAGCATTTTGATTCTAATATCTTTTTCTATTGTATTATTGACCTTGAAATCTATTCCGAGTCAAAAGTAAACGAAATATTTCAAATATTTCGTATTACTATACTTACCGGTATTTCTTACTGA